TTAATTTTACATTTATTTAACTTTTTCTTTGAAAGATAAGAAGAATTTATCTGTAATGACAAGTATTTTCAAAAGTAGTAATAACTACTATATTTTTAGTATTAGCTATCTATAGCACTCAACAAATGAGATCTAATTTTCACTATTTTCCTTCTAAATTGGCATTAATTTCACCATCTTACAGGTGCAGAAACAGTGTGCTATAATTTGGATTCAAATACTTTCTTGGTTCTTGTTCTTTCTGTTACCATCCATGGGTACCTGGTACAGATACAGGAGCTACAGATGAAGTACTTGTCTGGGGGCAGAGGACAGGGCATCCTGCACTGTTCCAGCATCTTTGCCAAGCCTGCATTGGGGCTGCTCCCTGGGATTGCTCCAGGTGTGCACAGCAACCTCTCTGACAAGAACTGCCGGCACCCCATCTATTGAACGCAAATATGACACAGAAGCTTAGCCTGTCAGTAACTGTCACACAGACAGAGGGGAGGCTAGACATTTGTTTCCAAGAGAAAACTCCAGAATAATAGCTCACACTCTTCTCTAACCAAAAATAGTTACTGTGTTGTGCCTAACTGTAATGAGCTCCTGTACTTCCATACCCTGGCAGTCCACCAGTGCTGCATACAAAAGGAAGAGATGACCCCTAGCAAAAATTCTCTCCCGGCTACTACCCATCACATTTCTATTGGTGAAATGAACTATCATTTGGGAACATGTGGCATTGAGTTGGAAAATCATATGGCCTTTACAAAATCATCTTCATTGCCATAGCAACTGTCCCAGACAATGTTAACAGACTCTATCATGTAACTAACAGCATATATTATAGGATTCCCTGTCCCCTTAAGGCCTGATATTTTCATGACCACTGAATAGAGTGCTAAAAACTAATAACCTCGTCACGGGGTGGGAAGGTGAAAACACTTTGATTCCCCAGGGTTTTGTGCCTTTTCATAACACTAGTTTCAAAGTTATTAGTGAGAAACGGATTTCATGTTTCATTTTCTGTGGTTCATTAACTATTATAGACCTCTAGGGTGTCATTAAGCTATTCCTTTTTCTAATATACTAAATGGAATCAAATAATTGAGG